GGGAGTGCCACTCAGCCAGAACCTGGATCATGGCTGGCCAGCACAGTGGTGGTGGCAGGAGCCTCTCCCACCTCCGTAGCAGCACTAAGAATGTCCAACTAACGGTTTAGACCTGATCCCTTGGGGGCCTAAGCCTTTAGTTGGACATCCCCCGAGGACTCCCTGGCTGCCAGAAGGATGTCTGACTGCAAGCTTAGGCCTGATCCCCTGGGGAGTGGGCCTAAGTCAACAGGCGGACATCCCCCAAGGAGTCCTGTATTGTGAATGGGCGCAGGTCAGGCTGAGGGACCCCCTCCCCGAGTGCACAAATTTTTGTGCACTGGGCCTCTAGTATACACTATATTGTCCTAAAATTCTGCAAAATTCATGTATTCTGAAATACATTTGGCTGCAAAGGTTGCATGTGATTTGTAATGATGATTATTTTTGATATTCTGTAATTGTAAACACTTTGCAGTTAGAAATATAAGATTTATAATCTAGTTATGAATGTTAATCTTCAATTTTTAGTTATAGATTACCTATAGTCATAATACATCAATGAAATATTATTAAATTATAATCAACCAGAAGCCCAGTGCACAAAAATTTGTGCACTCGGGGGGGGGGGGGGGTTCCATTAACCCAGCCTATGCCCTCTCGCAGTCTGGGACCCCTCAGAGGATGACCACGTGCTGGCTTAGGCCCGCTCCCAAGGGGATTGGGCATAAGATGGCAGTCAGAAATCCCTCTGGCAGACTGGGAGCTCTAGAGGGATGTCCACTTGCCAGCGGGAAGCAGGCCTAAGCTGCAGTCGGACATCCTTAGTGCTGCTGAGGAGGCGGGAGAGGCTCCCACTACCACCGCTGTACTGGCAGCCGTCAGCCTGGCTTGTGGCTTAGCAGAGCTCCCCCTGTGGGAGCGCACTGACCACCAGGGGGCAGCTCCTGCATTGAGTGTCTGCCCTCGGGTGGTCAGTGTGTGTCATAGTGACCAGTCATTCCCAGTCGTTCTGCTGTTAGGGACAACTTGCATATTACCCTTTTATTATATAGGATAGAGACCTGGTGCATGGTTGGGGTCTGGCTGGTTTGCCCTGAAGGATGTCCCGGATCAGGGTGTGGGTCCCGCTGGGATGCCTGGCTAGCCTGGGTGAGGGGCTGAGGGCCATTTTCAGGATGGCCACACCCCCTTCAGGGAGGGGGGTCCTGCTGTGGTGCCTGGCCAGTCTGGTTGAGGGGTTGATGGCTGTTTGCAGGCTGGCCAAGCCCCCCTGCAGGGACCCTCACACCATGGGAGTGTGGCCAGCCTGGGTGAGGGGCTGAAGACTTGTTTGCAGGCTTGGCACAGCCCCTTCAGGGTGGGGTTCCCCACTGGGGTTCCTGGCCAGCCTGGGTGAGGGTCTGAGGGCTGTTTTCAGGCTTGCCACACCCCCTTCAGGGTGGGAGGTCCCCGCTGGGGTGCCTGGCCAGCCTGGGTGAGGGGCTGATAGCTGTTTGCTGGCTGGCCAAGCCCCCCAGCAGGGACCCTCACCCCATGAGGATTTAGCCAGCCTGGGTGAGGGGCTGATTGCTGTTTTCAGGCTGACCAGGCCCCCCGGCCACCCAAGCTCCCAGTGGAGGCTGGCTGGAAGCAGGTATCTGGGATTTATTTAGCTTCTATAATTGAAACTTTGTGCCCTTCAGCGAAGGCCATAGCTGGCCAGGGCAGGCGGGAAGCTTGGCTTCCTCCATCACTGGGGCAACCAAGCCTCCTGCTTGCTCCAGCTCCATGGCTGCCAGCCGCCATCTTGGTTGGGCTAATTTGAATATAGTCACTCTGATTGGCTGGTGGGCGTGGCTTGGAGCATAGCAGAGGTGCAGTCAATTTGCATGTTTCTCTTTTATTAGATTAGATGGTTCCAATATCCTTGAAACAAATAATTTTTGGTATTATGGCTAGCAAGATTCTCATATCACATTTTCTTTTTTTTTTAATCCTCACCTGAGGATATTTTTCCATCGATTTTTAGAGAGTAGAAGAGAAAGGGAAAGACCAAGAGAAATATTGATGTGAGAGAAACACATTGATTGGTTGCCTCTTGCACGAACCCTGACCAGGGCTATGGCCAGGGAGGAGCCTCTAACCGAGGTGTGTGCCCTTGACCAGAATCGAACCCATGACCTTTCAGTCCACAGGCCAATGCTCTATACACTGAGCCAAACCGGATATGGTTCATATCACATGTTTTTAAGAAATAGTTGACTGGCTCCACACATTATTTACAAAGATTAAGAATGAATTTCAAATTAACATGAGCCACATACATAGTTTTCTCGCATGTGAGTGTGTGGCTCTTTATGGGATGTCTTGGGATGCTAAGATCATATGTTGCTGCTATATTCAGCTTTTTGGGTGAAGCTTTATGACCCTCTCCCCATGTCCCCTCTTCAATATGGGAGAATAAATCTTTTTATGTGGAATGCATAGTTTTTATAGTATAATTTCTCATGTAGGATATATAAATTACGAGCCACCTAACACGTCAGTGAGAGATGTTAATACTAATTTGCTTGTAAAAGTCTAATTTTTAACTATTATTTTTAGGTATTTACTACCAGGATGTACACAATTCTTCATAAGATCACCAGTCTACAACTTGAAATACAGTTCACCTGGAATGACTCGCTCCAATGTTTTGTTTACATCCAGATATGGCCATTTGTGAAACAGAAGGGAAATTGCCATGGGTTATGCATTATAGCAATTCATTGCCCCCTAATGTAAACATGCAAAGAAAGCAACCGTTAAGTGCTGTTTTATGTATATATGACATATATATGTGTGAAATATATGCACACATCACTCAAATAATATATTTATTATATAAAAGAATTAGAAAACTTGGATAGAAGACTTAACCTTTCTGTAAATGTAATAAACCATGTTAATATTGTTTACACAATATGTGAATGTCTAGAATTTGCTAGGTTTATAATTAATACCTTCCTACTAGAAATGGTATTTTTGCTGCAGAGAATATGAAACAGAACTGATCTTGGAGATCTCACTACAGTGTTAAATTATTTTCTAGATAACATGTCTTTAACTTGAATAAGCTCTAGTAGTGTAATACCTTATTCTTTTACATATATAGTAGCCATATAAAATGAAGAAAAATTAGAAGCCTAGTATTGCTTTGATGATAGGATTAAGTATAAAACGGGTTTATCATGACTATAGCACACTGTAAAATACTATAAAAATTCCAGCTTGATTCTTCAACATTTTGATTCCTCTATGTGGAAATTTAGCTACTTATGATAATGTAAATTTTCAGTAAGGATCTAGTGAGACCATTTAAATGAAAGACAATCCAGTGGGTTAATAAAAAACAAAACATAAACTAGCTTTTATTTTGACTTTTTATCAGGAGTTACTAGTACATTAAGGAATAGAAAATGATGATAATGACAAAAATCTTTTCAGATGATTTTTGTTATACTACTCATTTTTATTTGGAACGTATATCTCCAATGTGTATACAGTCAAAAACATTTTCTTCTGTTCTTCAGCAGTAGAAGAGTTGACCTTTGAAACTCATTTCAATGTTAATGTGTCACTTATTTTATACGTCTTTCAATGTTGAGACCAAATTACATTGCAAAGTCTAATACAGTTTCACACTGCACCATAGAAAATAATCTAAAATGTTGCAAATGGAGGATTTTGCTTACTGGATATTAGTTGTGGTGTACCCTTAAGGATTTTTAAAAATCAAAATAAAGTATGAAGTTTCTTCTAGTTCAAAGTTATCCTACCTAATAAAGAGGTGATATGCAAATTGACCATCACTCCAACACACAAGATGGCCACCCCCATGTGGTCAAAGATGGCTGGCAGGGGAGGGCAGTGTGAGTGATCAGGCCAGCAAAGGAGGGCAGTTGGGAGGGACCAGGCCTGCAGGGGAGGGCAGTTGGGGGGAACCAGGCCTGTAGGGGAGGGCAGTTGGGGGCAATCGGGCCGGCAGGAGAGCAGTTAGGCATCGATCAGGCTGGCAGGGGAGTGGTTAGGGGGTGATCAGGCTGGCAGGCAGAAGCAATTAGGGACAATCAGGCAGACAGGCGAGAGGTTGGGAGCCAGCAGTCCTGGATTGTGAGAAGGATGTCCGACTGCCTGTTTAGGCCCGATCCCACCGGAATCGGGCCTAAACAGGCAGTCAGACATCCCTCGAGGGGTCCCAGATTGGAAAGGGTGCAGGCTGGGCTGAGGGACAACCCCCCTCCCTGTGCACAAATTTTGTGCATCAGGCCTCTAGTTATGCATGTTTCATAGCAGCTTCCGTTTCTTGCTTAGAGTTTCAAAAACAATGAGTGAGCTTTCAGTTTTCCATGAAAATATAAACACTGTCATTGACATGTAAATACTTAGAAATTGCAATATTCCCCTTTTAGAAGTTTGTTTAAACTTCTCCCCAAAGTTTTATTTTCTCACAGACTAATTATTTACAAAATTCATGAGTGTTTTACCTTTTTTTATTATCCTAAAAGCTAATTCCAGTAAATCAAGAAATGGCCCAAAGCAGAAGGAGAACTGAGAGAGGCAAACTAGCCTGTTTTAATTCACAAGCTGGATAATTGGCAACCCCAAGGTGTAAGTTAGATATACTTTGCTTTTAAAGCCATATTTTATGACTGGGTTAGACTAAAGTAGTCTGTTCTTGGAATTATTGCTAGCTACTTCATTGCTTATGACTACCTAACATCCATATTCCAATAGATACTTTTTCTTGCTAGATGTATCCCAAAGAATAATTTTTTAATTATCTTTATGTAAAAAGAGAATAAGGATGTCAGGATGAAGGAAATTACTGTGTAACCCCAAGTGTTTATGACTCAATTTTGTAAGTTCTTAAACATGTGTTACAGATTTCTTAGAATAAGTAATGCAAAAATAGGGATATTACAAAATCATTATAAGAATAATCACCAAGTAGCTGTTTTCAAGGAGTATTTTTAGTCATTTCTCTTTTAAATTCATGATGTGTCAATGAATGAGACACAATTTCAGGTGTCTGGTATATAATATCAACACAGTTTGTTGGCCACTCACTTGCATTGGTTTAAATAAAAATGGTTAATTTGCTAGAGCGAGTGCTTTGGAACTTTTGTCTTCAGTTGCACAGGAGTGCAATTTTTATTTAAGACAAAAAAAGAATGTCCAACATGGAGATGTACCCTCTCCCCCTAGGAAACACACACACACACAGAATTTTTAAAACTAAGAGTAAATTTAATATATGAAATGATCCAACTAACTGATGAACACATTTCATTTCGATAACTACTTAAGTCCTTTTTTGAGCACTAGAATTTCATTGCCCACATTTGCCTATTTATATTGATCTAGTTTGATATGATGAAGTTGTGAAAAAAGCCATGTACTCATTATTTATATATACCACCTGGTATGCAGTGGTCTATGATCACTGTCCTTTATTCCCTTTTGCGAAACTAAGAAGAGAAGATACGGTAATAAGCCACGGAAGTCTCTAGAGGCCATATAAATGTTTTAGAGGTAAAACATATTTTATAGTGTTTATTATAATTTTTTGTTAATGGGGTTAAACATATCAGTATAAATGATAGTATGGGTCTGATGCTCTCTCCTAGGAGAGAAAAATCCAGAAGCTATTCAATTTTACCAAGAGTTTCTATTAGTGAATTTTATTTACTTATGATGAAAGCATATTGTTATTTTGTTATTAAGAAAATATCCATGATTGTTCTGTAAATCTAGGGTTGGAATGCTTTCCAGAAATGTATATGATTGGAATGATTTCCAGAATTGTATAAAAAGCAATCATTTTATTTTAAATCATTTATATTTTAAATCAGGTTTATATTCAGATTAGTTTTCATTTGTATACTCCAGCATTGTAGATTAGTTGCCATTTGCAATCTGTTGGAGGAAATCATTATGATTATTTTTACTAGTAAAACAAATTTTATTTTACTAGCATTTATTTATTTACCTTGTATGTATAAAAATGAAGTTATAACAGAATCAAATACGGTAATGGCAGCAGTAGCCTCTGATTATAACATGGTTGAATAACACTGGTTAAAAGATGCAAAGATCTTTACACATTTTTGTAGATTTAAATACACAAGCGTTTCTATTAATTCCTCTTCCCTAAAACTAAAATGAACCAAACTCAAATAACCCCAACCTTCTATATAGCTAGATGACAGTGGGTTCCAGACATTAAGAAAAATATTTCATCCTCATTTGTTTTAATTTGAAAAGTGCATGATTATAGAATTTTGTTATCCAAATGGAAATTTCAGATGCTTTCATGTAAATTAACCCAAATGTTTTCTTCTTTAGCCTGTCAAAGCCATTTTGTTTAAAAATTCTCTTGAAATCTAAACATACACATTACATGACCTTTTAAAAAGTACCAAAAATTAATAGTTGCATAAATGGTATTATTTCTAGTTTTCTATAAAGCAGTGATTCATTCAAAATGTATATTCTTTAAAATATAATAGCAGATACTTTGAGAAGAATGACAAAATACTTTTCTGTTCTATTCCCTACTGCTGCTTTACATTTTGAATCTTAGTTAATTTGATTATAAGGGTTAAACAATAAAAAGTGTGACCACAACTAATGTATTTCTGTGACTTGAAAATTTGCTTTCCTCTTTAAATTGAGAGATTACATTTTTCAATAACTGAATTAGTTATCTACATATTTTGGGCTAATATTACTTTTGAATAGATTTAAAATTTAGAAATATATGATCAATATTTTATTCCTTACATTGTCCTCCTTCCCTCCCTCCCTCCCGCCCTCCCTCCCCCCTTTCGTTTATTTCCTTTTCTTTTTTTCTTAAACTTTAAGTTCTCTTTAAGGTTTTGAGGTATGGATAAAGTCAAGAAAAGAAAAATCCTCAGTGACAATAAAAGATAATGTGTCACTGGATCTAGTTCAGTTTGCTGAGATTTTTAGGAATCAGGTTGAAGTCTCTAGGCCTAAAAAGCATTAATTGTCTGGACCCATGTGAACCAAGGTTATTAGCTATAGTCTTGAAACCAAAAATTGGTATATTAAAACTTATTTTCACACTTTGAGATTGCTATCGTGTGTGTGTGTGTGTGTGTGTGTTTGCTTTGTCATAAATGAGTATATGGCATATTGAAGGAAACTATTCAGCTAACACATTCTGCATTAACTGGGCTGTATTATCCAAGAATTGCAAAATAAAGCTTTAATTTCCCCCACCAACTAACTTTAAATCTGCTGGTAAAGTCATCATTCAATAGACCAATATTTTCTAAATTAGTAAGAAAACTTACCTTACAAAAGTAATCAGATAATGCTGATATTTCTCTTTCAAAGGCTAACAACGCCAGGACAGTTCTTGGTCTTGAGTTGGTCAGTTCATACAGGAGCTAATGCACTTTCTACAGCATCGAATATTCATAGCTTTGCTGAAGATTCTGGGCTTGAAGATTAACTTGAAAGCTATCCATTTGCTACCATGAATCATGGCTCAAATTATCCTCATGTGCTTTACTACCTGTATATAAATGCAAATGCTGTTACAGAAAATATGCTTGAAATGTCTACACAATGTGCAATTAGTGTGGCCTTGCCATGCTTCAGCATGTGCTATCTGTATGGTGAACTTATTTCAATTACTCAGATATGTTACCATAATAAAAAATGTTTAACCTAAGAAAGCTATGATATGTCATCAAATGGTTATTTCTGTTTTACACACACACACACACACACACACACACACACACACACACACACACACACACTTTTTAGAAGTAAAAGATAGGCTCTCAATGAAGCATTCAAGATGATGGAATATATTTTCACAGTAATTTTCTTCTTCTGTACAGACAGCAATAGCACTATGGGGATAGCTTTACCTGCTATTAAAGTCAGGTCGAGTAAACAAAATTGGTATCAATTCCTTACTTTGCTGGAAGATACACGTTTCTAAAATTTAGAAATGACACTTTTATATCTTTCTAGTATCATTGATTACAAAAGTATTACTAATCTGAATAGATTTATGTCAGCATCTCAGCTATCAAGTTCATTTTGGGATGAATTTGTAATTTTAATTTTGTTAAAACATCATATAAGAATCATATCCTAATCTTATTGCCATTTATACCATTGCTCTTTAAGATGCTTATATATGAAGAAATTAGAATATTTTTACTTTAAAGAAAGAAAGCACTTTGCATAAAAATTCTATCATGGTAGGAACTTTAAAGCATGTATTTTTAAAACTGTTGCTATTTTTATAAAGTAAAAATATTGTATGAAAGCTCAAAGTTGAATTTGTGATTTTTCAGTGACATATAAAGGTGAGGCCAATGTGAGTATGTATCTGTCTATTTTACTAATTAATTTTTAATTTAAAACATATATAAAATTTTGTTCATTAAATGACTGAAAATCTTTAAACTATAAAATAAATCATCCCAAAATAATTCAAGTGTTAGAAAATTTTATGTAGTGCCTTAAAACAAAATTAATATTTAGCTTTTTTGTAGAAATATCATAGATCTTTAATTTGGAGAGTTGTTTTTTGTGTGTGCATGTGTTAATCCTCACTGGAGGATATTTTTTCCATTGATTCTTGAGAGTGTGGAAGGAAAAGAGAGAGAGAGCAGAGAAAGAGAGAAACATCAATGTGAGAGGGCCACATCAATTGGTTGCCTCCCACAGACACCCTGACCAGGGAGGGGAACCTGCAACCTAGGTATGTG